CACAGTGGCCAGACCCCGTCCCCCGCGCCTGTCTGACTCCGCTCGGGACCTTCGGATGAAGATGGGGCTCTGCCTCAAATGCGGGGAGAAAGGACATTTCGCAGCGGATTGTGGAAGCCGCCAGCAAAAAGACAAGCCTCCGACGCTGAAACTGAAGACCCCCCTGCCAGCAAAGAAAGGGCTTGCTAAGCCGAAGTTTTCAAAAGCTCTCCAAGCTGCTCAAGACCCCACCGCCGGCGAGCCCGCCGCTGCCGAATCAACTGACGACTCCGAACCCGAACCGGCGGAAAACGAGAACGGCCTGTTGTGAGGGGCGCAAAACGACAGGGCCGTTCCGCTGATGCGCCACAGGTGGTGAGAGAGACCCCATCTCTTTTTTTCGTGACTGTCTCCTTGATCAACCCCGTTCTTGGCACGCATGTCCGGGTGAAAGCTCTGGTTGACTCGGGTTGTGGGAGAGACTTGATTAGCCCTAGGGTGGTACTGGGACTCGAGGCGGGGGTCACCGTTTTGAAATCACCCATTATTTTCACCCAAATGGATGGGGCTCCTATGGAACCATGCACGCATGAATCCATGCCGCTGCGCCTGAAAGCAGGCGATCATTGGGAACAAAGGACTTTCATAGTTACTCCTAAGTCTCAGTTTGACTTGGTCCTTGGCAGCCCTTAGCTTTTTACTCACGAGCCTTACATCCTGTGGGAGGAGGGGAAAATACAGTTTGTGTCCCCCAAGTGCACCGCACATAGCTGGGAAGCGGGATGGGGTGATAAACCGGCTGTACAATTTCCCTGCGCTACACTCAAACCAGAAGAGTTAGCCTCTCTTCCCCCCGAATATAGGGACTTGGCTGGGGTTTTTGGAGAAGAGGAAGCTGATAAGTTGCCGCCCCACAGACCCACTGACTGTACAATTGAACTTTTGTTGGGCTGTAAATTGCCCAAAGGGAAAATTTATGCGATGGGGCCGGCCGAAAAAGTCGAACTTCACAAGTTTATTGACAAAAATTTGGAACGGGGTTTCATCCGCCCTGCGTCTTCCCCGTTTGCGGCTCCTGTACTTTTCAGAAAGAAGAAGGATGGGGGGCTCCGCTTATGCACTGACTACCGGGGGCTGAATGCGGTTTCTTTATCCAATGCTTACCCTCTTCCTCTCATCAAGGATCTAGTGGCTGAAGCCACAAAAGGGAAAATCTTTTCCAAACTCGACCTGCGGGACGCATACTTCCGAGTGCGCATACGGGAGGGGGATGAGAGTAAAACGACTTTCAACACACCCTTGGGTCAATTCGAATACTTAGTTATGCCGTTCGGTCTTCAAGGGGCTCTGGGGGTCTTCATAAACCTTATTAATAAAGTCCTACATGACTTTTTATTTAAAGGTGTGGTTATTTACCTTAATGACGTATTACTGTACTCTCAAAACCTACCCTCTCACATTAAATTAGTTCGCAAAGTCCTACGCACGTTACATAAGCATAAACTGTTTGCCAAGCTGTCTAAATATAAATTCCACAAGCCCTGCATTAACTTTTTAAGTTACCGCATTTCGGGGGGGGAGAATGTGGCTGCACAACAGCAAGCTGTCATTGTGTTCTGTGTTACTTGTACGGCTGTACAGTTTATTCCTCCCCCCCCCTCTGCCGGCTAGCCTGTATTTTATTCTGCTGTAATGCTTAAGTCAAACATCTGGAGGACGTGGTGTAGGAGGTGAGCTTGAATGCTAGCTTGTTGCCTTTAGAGCCTGGGAACTGCACCTATATTATGTCTGGAGATAGCAGTGTTCCCAGGGATTGAGCGAATCCCTTCAACTTCTACGCAGACAGTTCTAGTGGCCTCATATGCGCAAGAACTTATTAGAGTTTGTCCGGACTTGCCACACTTGTGCATTGACTAAACCAGGGGGGGGGAAGCCTCCCGGCCTCTTGCGACCCCTGCCTACCCCCTCCAGGCCGTGGGAGGTGGTCTCCATGGACTTTATTACTGATCTTCCCTGTAGCAAGGGAAAAACTGTGATTTGGGTGGTTGTGGATCTGTTTTCTAAGCAAGCCCATTTTGTGCCTTTCTCTTCGCTGCCAACTGCCCACAAGCTGGCGAAGGCTTTTCTGTATCACATTGTGAGACTCCATCTTTTACCATCTAAGCTAATTCCAGATAGGGGCTCACAATTCGTTTCCAAGTTCTGGAGGGAGCTCCTGTCAATCATGGGGGTGGAGCAAGGTCTCAGCAGTGCTTACCACCCTGAGACCGATGGGCAAACCGAACGTGTGAATCAAACGCTTGAGCAATATTTACGTTGTTTCACTAACTACCAGCAAACTGACTGGTGTGATCTGTTGCCTTTGGCTGAATACTGTTACAACAACACCTTGCATAGTTCTATTGGGATGTCTCCTTTCAAGGCTGTTTTTGGTTACGATAGCCCCCCTCTACCCTTTTTGAAGGGAACTACTATTTCCCATGGGGGGGATGCTAGTTCCTGGTGTAAGTCATTGCAAGATGCATGGCCTCTATTATGTCAAAAGCAGCTTATAAGGCCCAAGCAAATAAGGGACGGGTGGTGGAATTAAATTTAAAACCTGGTAATCTAGTGTATGTTTCTACTAAAAACATCAAGATGTTAAGACCGAGTAAAAAACTAAGTTAAAAATTTATTAAGCCTTTCAAAGTACGTAAAATCATCAATAACGTTACTGTTAATGTTAAACTGCCAAAAAATCTAAGGGCTTTACATTCTGTTTTTCACATGAGTTTGTTGAAAAAGGATCCTAATACCTCTCCCTGGAGGCCCTCGGTAACTCCCCCTCCGCCTGTACTACTTGAGGGGGATGAACATTTTGAAGTTGCAGACATCCTCAACTCCAAACTGAAACGTAGTAAACTCTAGTACCTCATTGAGTGGGTGGATTTTAAACCCCAGCACCGCGAATGGGTGGAAGAAGGGGATATTCAAGCCCCTTATCTAATTCGTAAGTTCCACAAAAAATTCCCGGACAAACCGGGAGGCCTCCCGCCCAAACCAGGAGATCTCCCGCCCTGCCCGGAAGACAAAAAATAAAATGTATTTTGGAGGGGGCAGTATGTCAGCAAGCTGCCATTGTGTTCTGTGTTACTTGTACGGCTGTACAGTTTATTCCTCCCCCCCCCTCTGCCTGCTAGCCTGTATTTTATTCTGCTGTAATGCTTAAGTCAAACATCTGGAGGACGTGGTGTAGGAGGTGAGCTTGAATGCTAGCTTGTTGCTTTTAGAGCCTGGGAACTGCACCTATATTATGTCTGGAGATAGCAGTGTTCCCAGGGTGTGAGCGCGCAGCCGTTTCCTTTTACCCGCCAGCGGGAAAGTGTTCCATTGGTTTGGTACCTTATTCAAATCCCTTTATTATGCTTGCCCTGTCTGTTTGTACCCATTCCTAACAAAGGACTTGTTTGAGTATCTTTCCAAAGCTTTGAAATAAATTTTGCTTTCCTGAAACGTGGATTTATTCTCGATGCTTGGGGATCTAACAGATCCGCAGGCCCCGCCTGGAAGTCAGCGACCCTGAACTATCCAGCACGGCAGCCTCCCTGCCTGTCCAGAGGCGAGAAGGCGTGGGATCCCGCACAGGCGGCAGAAGGGGACCCGGGATCCAACGCAGGACCCTCTTCAGGCCTCTATAGCTGCGGTGGGGCATCTTGGGGCCAGGCCCCCTGATTTACCACCTGGGCCCCCTGACCAGTGTTCCCTCTCAGCTGAGTGAGTGTGAGCTGGCTCACAGTTTTTCAGCCTCCGGCTCGCATGTTTTTGTCTTGGCTCAGAAAGGAGGGGGCTCCAGAGCAAACAAGGTTATGCAGCGGCCACATCGCCCACTCACAACTTCAATGCCGGCAGCTCACAAAGGAGAATTTTTGCTCACAGGACTCCACGGCTTAGAGGGAATGTTGCTCCTGACTTCCCACCCAGCCGGTTTGTTTTATTTTTCACACGCGCCACAGCCTCGCTGCGCTGAGCCATCGCCCTGCCCTGCCCTGCCTGCCGGTGCCCGTGCCTCCCTCTCTACTCACTTTTAAAAAACGTTTACTCTCTTGTCGCTCCTGACGCGGCCTGGGGTGTGTGTGCTGGGGAGCCCCCCGACTTATTTAAATCCCCCCCCCGAAGTAAAAAACCCCTAGCTATGGCCCTGACCCTCTTGGCATCCTCTGGGTGCCCCCCCATCACAGCCCACCCCCACCCCCGACTCACTCCAGGAGCAGCCGAGGGCCTCCATCCGCAGGGAGATGCTGCCGTGGTGGGCGGTGGGCAGCAGGCGCAGGACGCGGGCCAAGACGGGCGGGCTCAGCTCCTGGTGCACCGGAGTGGACCTGTCGGAGTTGCCGTCCAGAACCTGGGAGAGGGGAGAGCAGAGTCCGCAGTGGGTGAGACTGGAGAGGAGATTGTGGAGACAGCTCAGCCAAAGGGGCCAGGAAACGCTGGTCTGTTCACGCACAACATTTCAACCCAGGCTCCTCCCGTAAGGGTCTCAAAGTGGGTATGAAAGCAGGAAGAAGAAGGCAAGTAGGTTCTTATACCCCGCTTTTCTCTACCTTCAGGAGTACCCAAAGCGGCTTACAATCACCTTCCTCTCCCCACAACAGGCACCTCGTGAGGCAGGTGGAGCTGGCGGAGCTCTGGGAGAGCTGTGACTGGCCCTAGGTCACCCAGCAGGCTTACACGCAGAGGAGGAGCAGGGGATCAAACCTGGTTCTCCAGAACAGAGTCCGCTGCTCTCAACCACGACACCACGCTGGCTCTCAGGTACTGAATGGGAGGAGGCAGCTCTCTCAGCTTATGGAGAGAGGACACCGCTGGCCCCTCCCCTCTATCTTTTAAGGGGGCCCATGATCAGAACACCCTCCCCAAACTGATTTGGAAATCCAGACAGGAAAGGAAGCAGCGAGGGGCCATCCTCCAGCCCTCCCTGTGATGAGCAGCTCCGGCCTCTGCAGGATGGAGGGCACCAGAAGCCACCCAGGTGGGAGGTGGGCAGGGTCAGCCGGGCCTTGGCAGGAGAGTGTGACGTCCTTGCCTATTGAGGCAGATGGTTTTACCTTTAAAACACTCTCTGTGTACCTAAATTTGGTAGATTTCTGCTGCCACCAGGAATTAAAAATTCCAAATCTCTCTATTTTGGTAGAATTACCCAGGGTCTGGGCACTTCAGAGGACTATGTGGCCCTGAGGAAGGACTATTCTGATTCCTGAGATAAGTTTAAACAAAAAATGATTAATTTAATAAATAATAAAATAGGTCTCTGGTTAATAAGAACTGTTGCTGATGAAAGGAACGTGTAAATATAACTGGCAAAGCTTGGTGTCACAGTCTCTCAAACTCCCAAAACTCCACTCTGACAGGTGTAGACAGTCTAATCTCTCTCTCTCTCTCATCTATATAGCCACACAGGCTGAACTCTTTGTCTTATTCACACAGAATAGACTCAAAAACTCCTATAGTCACACAGACTATGCTCTCTCTTCAAACTTCACACACAGAATCTCTCACATAGACACCCCTCCTCTCACACTCTCAGTCACCAGCCAATCACATCACACTTGTCTCCCTCTATCACTCTTCTTACAGTACTGCAGTCAAACTAAACTTTTAAAGAAACACACATACCAAAAAAAGAAATCATTACAGAGAGGAAGAGGAAGTAGGCACCCCTACCTGGGCGTGCTGGGAGGCTGCCGCGCTGGGCCTTGCCCCTGTGTAGTTCTGAAAGTGGACACCGTCCTTGCTATAGGCCAGCCGGTAGTGGGTGACAAAGCCCCCCACCGGGCCCCCGCCCTGTGTGACCACCGCCGTGATGAAGGTGGGCCGCCGGAAGTCCACCTGGAAGTAGGGGCTGGGGTCAGCCTGGTGGGGGCTCCAGCCCACGTCTGAGTCCTGCCTGCAAGGGAGGGCAGAAGGTGACGGTGAGCGGCACTCATCCCCCGGCAACAGAGCAGTTGCTGAACCAACAGGGAATAGCATTCAAAACCAGACTTGGGAAGTGCCACTGCCCCAGCATCAAGGCCGTCTCTGGGATTCTCTGCCCTCGCATTGTTTCCCTCCCAGAGGCCACCAGAGGTTATACAAGGTTGCCAGCCTCCAGGTGGGGCCTGGGGAATCTCCTGCCATCACAACGGGTCTCCAGACTGCAGAGATCAGCTCCCCTGGAGAAAATGGCTGCTTTGGAGGGCGGGCTCTCTGGGATCATTAATTTATTTATTTATAATCAAATTTATACCCCGCCCTCCCTGCAAAGCAGGCTCAGGGCGGATTATAAGAAGAAGAGATGGGATTTATACCCCGCCCTTCACTCGGCGTCTCAGAACGGCTTACAGACTCCTTTCCCTTCCCCTCCCCAGGGGCTGAGAGAGCTCTTTCGAGGACTGCCCTTTCAAGGACAACTCTTGTCAGAACTGTGGCTTGCCCAAGGTCATCCAGCAGCAGCTGCAAGAGGAGGAGTGGGGTTTCAAACTCGGTTCTCCCAGATTAGAGTCCGCGCACTTAACCAGGACACCAAACTGGCTCCATTACTCCCTGCTGAGGACCTTCCCCTCCCCGTATCTTGCGCCCTCTCCAAGGCCCCATCCCCCACATCTCCAGGGATTTCCTAATCCAGTGTTGGCAACCCCGTGAACATAGTCTGCAGAGCCTCCACCAGTGTCTCTCGCCTATCCCTGGCCCTCTTCCGACCGCCGGCCTCCACTCGCCAACCATCGTCCCTGCCTCCCGCCTCTTCTCCTCCGCCACCCACATTCCCCTGCCATCCCCACAGGACACTGCTCTCAAGGCAGGTCCCACCCAGGGCAACCCCCAGGCTCCCTTACGCATTGGGCGTGGCGCTGAGGCGGCCGGCATCTGGAGGGCTACCGTCTAGGTAGGAAGAGGAGCTCAGTTGCTGGCTGAGAATGCGTCCGTCGCCCAGGCCAAGGGGTTGGCTGCAGAGATCTGGGTGAGGAAGTCCACAGTGACCCACCGTTTCAGAGCCTGTCGCCCCAGGCCTCTATCCCCAAGGACTGCAGAGTGGGTTCCCAGTTCATCACAGCAGCCCTGACCCACGCAGGTGAAGGACCAGGTCAAGGCTTGGTGCTGATTCTGGGACTTTCCAGCCCACTCTCATGGAAAGAAGTCCCCTTGAGGAACGAAGCTGCTCCCTATGGATCTGCGAGGGGGCAGGCAGAGGCCGGTGGGGGGGGCAACGAACGTCAGAAAGAGGAGCACCATACCTGGTGGGGTGGGGCTGAAGCCTTCCGGAAATGGCCATCCACCTGGGGACACCTGTGAGGATGGAGGAAAAGACACATCTCCTGCTAGTCAGTCTGTGCTCCTGCGGGCCTCCGGGCCTTCTTCACCACCTACGTTTTTCCTTCCCATCAGGCAGAGGGCCTCTTCCCACACACTGGAATAAGGTTGCTAGCCCCCCAGGCTCTCCCACTTCTGGGGGCTTCAATCCGTCCCCGGCCAGCTGGCCGGCGGGTGAAGTCCACCCCAAAGCCTCACCCCCAAGAAGAAGAAGAAGAAGAAGAAGAAGAAGAAGAAGAACAGAAGAAGAGATTGGACTTATACCCCGCCCTTCACTTGGAGTTTCAGAGCGGCTCACAACCTCCTTTCCCTTCCCCTCCCCACAACAGACAGACACCCTGGGAGGTGGGTGGGGCTCTGAGAGAGCTCTGAGAGAAACTGCTCTTTTTCCAAGAACAGCTCTGGCCTGAACTACGGCTTGCCCAAGGTCATCCAGCCAGGTGCAAGTGGAGGAGTGGGGACTCAAACCCGGTTCTCCCAGATTAGAGTCCACGCACTTAACCACGACACCAAACTGGTGAGCGACCACCCACCCCTCTCCCTCCCCTCCTGCCCGATTTAAAGGGCTTCAGCTGATTGGCAGGGACCACGTGGCCCACCAACCAGCAGGAGGGCCCTTCAGATCTAGCAGGAGGGAGGGAGAGGGGCAGTCGCAGGCCGCATGCTTGGCTTGCAAAAAGACCCTTTAAAGTCATTAAAACCAGGCCAGGGCATAAAAAGAAACGCCACAGAGCCTAAAATATACAGGTGAACCAGTTCCAGAACAGAAATCAAGCCCACTGTCCCTACTTTCTAAACGATCAAAGCTGCACGTGCAGAGGTCTGAAGGGGGCCCCTCCAGTTCACGCCTCTGGGAGCCCTCTTTGGCCCACGGTGGGTCCATGCGGACTAACTGAATGTGGGTGCTGTGGGCATCAGAAAGAAATGCAGTCATATCAGCAGTGTTCCTTCTAAGCTGAGTTAGTGTGAGCTAGCTCACAGTGTTTCAGCCTCCATCTCACACATTTTTGTCTCAGCTCAGGAAGCAGGGCTCCAGAGCAAACTAATGTATGCAGTATCCAAATCGCTCACTCACAACTTTAATGCCAGGAGCCCACAAAGTGGAATTTTTGCTCACAGGACTCCACATGCCCTCTCTGTGGGCATGCATGCCATCGCCCCAGCCAGGCCCAGACCATTGTTAAAGTGTCGAATTCTCTGCCAAATAATTGTAAGTAAATGACAGCATTTGGGATTGCTTTCCTTACTTTGTTTGGATCATCTTAAGTTAATGTGAGTTGTGTTTTCTAAAGTAAAACCTCAGTATCCAGATTAAATTGCCATGTTGGCACTTTGCGATAAATAAGTGGGTTTTGGGTCGCAGTTTGGGCACTCGGTCTCTAAAAGGTTCGCCATCACTGGCTTAGAGGGAACAAAAGGCAGAGAAGGAGACAAAAATTTCCACAGCAAGCAGTCAGATGGGGGGGGGTTTACCCAGCCCACCCTAACCCTTAACCCTAACCGTAACCCTAATCCCGAACCCCTAGGGCATGCGCAACAACAACAACCACAAAACCCTGCGGTGCCTCCTCTCTGTTTGGCTTCCTCTGATCATCAGACACTCTCACAAAGCGGGAGTGGTGTCCCCCCCCACTTTATCTCCCCCCCCCCAGGGCAGTCTCCAGCTCCATACCTGGGTCGCGTAGGGCACAGACGGCCTCTCGAGGGTCCACGGGCTGAAAGAAACAGTGCAGGAAGGAATGAGTCTTCTCGTGGCAATTGAAATGACAGTGTGGAAGCACCACGGGTGGGGAAATTCTGGGGAAAGACGGAGGACGGACGGTGCCCAGGAAACGCCCACGCATGGAAGCTCTGCCACCCACATGCAGGCCTCGGCACTCGCAGCGGTGATGAGAGCAATCAAAAGGCTTGTGCGGGACATTCCCTTCTGCTGCACAAAGACTGGGCCCTGGCACACAACCGGCTTTCCTGGGCCTCTCAGCTGTCAAAAGCCTCGCTCTAAGCAGTGTTCCCTCTAAGATGAGTTAGTGTGAGCCAGCTCACAGGTTTTTAGCCTCCGGCTCACACATTTTTGTCTCAGCTCGGGAAGGGAGGGCTCCGGAGCAGACTAACTGATGTGGTAGCCAAATCGCTCGCTCACACCTTTAATGCCAGGAGCTCACAAAGTAGAATTTTTGCTCACAGGATTCCACAGCTTAGAGGGAACATTGGCTCTAAGTCCTCCTGAACAGCTGGGGAGGAAGTTGGGTGCCCGTTATGGGTTTGCCAACCTCCAGGTGGGGGCCTGGAGCTCTCCTGGAATTAGAACTGACCTCCAGACTGGAGAGATCAGCTCCCCAGGATACTGCAATCTATATATCTAATTCCGAAGATGCCCCCTGGTGTGTGGATATCTAAATCCGCACATCGGGAGCACCTGGGGGGCGGGGAGATTTTCGTGCACATTTGGGGCAATCCCCAGGTGTGCACAAAAATCTCAAACGTTGGGAAAAATATCGGGGGGATACTCAAATTCCCCCCAAAACTAACAGAGCGGGTCCCCTTACTTGTCTTAATCTAATATTGTAATCTTAATCTAATGTTACTTTTAGTATATACATATTGGAATTTTAATGTATACATTTATACACATGTTGTTAGCCACCCTGAGCCCGTCGCGGTGGGGAGGGCGGGACATAAATTTAAATATAAATAAATAAATACAGCAGCTGCGGAGGGTGGGGCTCTTCCCAGGTTCCACCCCATGTCTCCAGGAACCTCCCAGCCAGGAGTTGGCAACCCCAGCCCAGTGAGCAGCAGCAGCTGCTGTAGAAGGTCTGGCTGACTTTGTGACTCCTCGGCTCACAGTGACTTCCAACTTCAGGCCACTCGGCAGGTGAGAGCTAGAGAATGCGGGCAATGGTCGGTCGCACGTTAGCTGAACTTGTCCCATCTATGGATTACCTGACGGGGGGAACTCTGGTCGTGGAGATGCAGCCGGCCTCATCCGTGGCATCTGGGCAGTGGGGGGCCCCATCGCATCTCTGGGCCACCTCGATGCAGACGTTGGCTAAGGCACAGTGGAACTGGGAGGGCAGGCAGACCTGCGGGGTGGCAGGCGACAGCGAAGGGGCAGCTCCTGGCAAGGGGGGTACAGAGCAGAGGGTGGGCAAGGGGGCCATGGACCAGCAGAGTGCCGGAAAGGGGGTCCTTTCTGTTGGGTGTTACAAGTCAAAACACTTCAGTATTTACAGGGTTAATGATGTTTGTTAAGTCACATGTTTGTTGGTAACCAATCTGTTTAGACAAGAGAATGCTCGGGAACTTTGGAGCTAATTTGCTAGTCTGATTGGAAACCAAGGTGTCAAGTATTTAGCATATTGGCCTCTCCTCCCGTTCTTTGTTCTGACCACAGAAGGAGACGCCCTTCGGCTCTTCCCGTTTTACCTTTTAGATGTAAGGATGTAGACATATTAGCTCTTTGTTATTTTCATATCCTGTGTACCTTTTTCCCATGTTAGCTTTATAGTAAACTTTTATATTTTAATACACACCATGGACTCAGTCTCTTAATATTCTGCTGACTTACTTAAAAAGAATCCTAAGACTTTCCCTTGGGGTTGACCCCCATGCTGCTGCTCCCAACTGGAAAGAGCCAAAAGCGTGTGTTGACAGCCTCACAGCATGGCCAGATATCCACAACTGTGTGTGTAAGGGATATTGTTATGTATTGGGACTGAAATCATCCCTGACTGAATCACCTCACCCCAGAGACTGGCTGAGCTTGGAGCACAAGAACAATAGCCAACCAGGACTCTGGAATAAACCAAGCAAGTAGTAATGTTATGTAAACAGCCTATCACTGGGAGTGGGGTGTGTCTGGGTGTGGCAATCGCATGCTATTTAGCGGAGCTGAGGCTCTGGAATCTTGTCTTGTAGTTTTGCTGAAATCACTGAATAAACCTGAGCTGATCACTGCAGCATGGGGAAAGTCTTAGGATTCTTTTTAAGTTAGTCAGCAGAGTATTAAGAGACTGAGTCCATGGTGTGTATTAAAATAGAAAAGTTTACTATAAAGCTAACATGGGGAAAAGGTACACAGGATATAAAATAACAAAGAGCTATGGTAATATGCCTACATCCTTGCAGCTAAAATGTGTAAAACATTCTGCATGTACATAGGGTTGCCAAGTCAATTTTTCTTACCGGCGGGGGAGCCTCGCCGGGCTCCGGGTGCCATCCGTTGATGTGCACGCACGCGCGCCGCCAGCACATCACCAGAAGTGACGTGCGACGTCAATCACGTTGAAGGCGTGGCCCCGATCAATCGTCGGAGGGAAAACCATAGAGTTTTCCCTCCGACGATCGGGGCCACGCCCCCAACGGCATTGCAGTCGTCACCTCTGGTGACGCAGCCACGCTGCGCTTCGGGGGGTGGAGTTCCCCCCAGGGCCCGATTCCGCGGCAGCGGGAATCGGGCCTCCGAAGCGGGGGTTTACCCGCCACCTGCCCCCACTTGGCAGCCCTACATGTACACCTTCCAAAATCGGGTGTGGAGGAGTCCTTGGGGCTTGCCCGCTCCCACCCACCCCATCCTTGGCTCCCAGAGACAGGGCTGCCACTCACCACAGCGGAGTTCATCAGAGAAGTCCCCGCAGTCGTTGACTCCGTTGCAGATGGCGCCGTTAGGCCCTGCAGGGACGCAGCCTCCGTTCTGGCACTGGAACTCGCCTGTTCGGCAAGGCCTCCCCCCTGGCACTCGAGACGGGGTCACAGGGAGCTCTGGAGACACTGTGGAGGGCAGTTGTGGTTCATGAGGTAAAACCAGCAAGGGTGAGAAACAAGACACAGCAGAAGGTGACAGTGAGCCAGCCGCGAGGGCTGGTGAGGGGGGCTGACTGGTAGGCCTGGGTTCCAATCTCCACTCTGCCACAAAGCTCCCTGGGGGGGGGGGTGAGATGGCCACGGCCCTCCACTGGTAACCGCTGGGAGACTTGGAGGGGTGGAGCTACTCGGTGCCCCACAGGATCACTTCTGGCTTCAGTGACCAAGTCCCTCACTTTTCCACAACACTGGGAACTCAAAATGCCTTACAAAATAAAATGGACAAAATCACAATGTAAACAAGTAAATACAACAGAGGGGCAATGCCTCCCTCTAATCTGTGGAGTCCTATGAGCAAAAATCCTACTTCGTGAGCTCCTGGCATTAAAGTTGTGAGCAAGCGATTTGGCCGCTGCATAAATTAGTTGTCTCTGGAGCCCTCCTTCCTGAGCTGAGACAAAAACGTGTGAGCCGGAGGCTAAAAAACTGTGAGCGGGCTCACACGAACTCAGCTTAGAGGGGACACTGCAGAGGGGTATGAAGGGGAGGGGCAACAACAAACCCCAGCTTTCAATTTTTAAGGGCACCCCAGGAAAAATGGTTGGGGTTTCTCAGCATCAGAACAATAGCACCATCTTCTGGATTCTTCTGTTCTTTCAATGAGTGCTACAGATCTTTGTGCTACGGTGACCACTGCTGTTTGAATAGGCTGGCGCAGACTACAGGGGGCACTGCCAGATGGAGAACTTCAGATGTTGTGGGGAGGGGAAGGGAGAGGAGTTTGTAAGCCGCTCTGAGACTCCCTTGGGTAGTGAAGGGCCATGGGGTCTAAATCCAATCTCCTCCTCTCCTTCTATATTTAAAGTTGGGATTTTTTTGTCCTCCAGTTGTTTAGGCCCTGGAGACAACACCATCTCCCTCCCTCAGAGAGTCTACTTCTGGCAAAATGCTATAACAATATTCAATTGCCATTAAAAAAAAAAAAATCTGAAGAAACCCTTGTTTGTGCAGGCGGAGGGCACTTCTGGGGAACCCGGGAATGGTGACTGCAGGGAAACCTCCCATGCGGAAAGCCCCAGTGCCCCCATGCTCTATCGGCAACCGCTGCAGCGATGGGGAAGCCCCACAAGATTGTCCCCGTCTGGAAAACACCGCGGATTCAACCCTTCGAGCCACAGCCGCTTGAGACTTTTCTGCCTCAAACTGAATCTCCTTTCTTGGAGCGCAGCCTGACGGCTCCTCCTCCGAGGCACCTCCAAAGCCCATCGCCATCTGACAACTGCATTCTACGTCTCCGGCACACTCCCTCCACCACCACCTTTACTTTTGCCCTTCCTGCCCCCTCCCCACTCCCACCAGGCAGGTGGTCTTGGGTCTCGGGAGCCCACCTTTCCCACAGCCCAACAGCTCCATGCGCAAGAAGATCCCGTTGTGGAAGTCGTGAGGCAGGATGCGGACATGCCGGGCGAGCACCACATGCTGGAAGGTCCGCACCACAGGGGTCGAGTCATCTGAGTTCCCCTGGAACAGCTGGACGGAAGTGGAGGAAAGCTGAGAACTCTCCTCTGGCACTCTTAAACACGGCTGCGCGTCCGAGCCAGGACCTGCCTGCTCCAGACACACCCGTGCCCGTGACAAGACCGTCCAGGACTCCCACAAGGCCACACACACGGTTCCCACTGCCTTAACGTGCCCTCCCCACAATGTCTCCTAGGCATCACTCCCAAATCAATAAATGCCAAATACAGCAAAAAAACTAGAAAGACAGGAACAGACCCACAAAGACCCAACAGTCACAGTGCCCTGGCACTGCACTCCTGCGTGAGATGGCGCCTGTCAGCCACTATCCACCCCCCACCCCGTGCACCCTCAAGGTTATGCGGCACCTTGGGCTCATGCGTGGCACCCACTGGGGACATCTCAGAGCCGTCATGCCATCTCGTGCCATCCGGACTGAACTGCAGGAAGAAGCTGGTCACGTAGGCATCGGAGGATCCGGCTCCTTGCACCACTACCCCTGCAGAAGGACAGAACAGGGCACGACGGCTGTTGTCCAGGGCGGCTCCTGACTTGACTCTTGCAAAGACACTGAAGGGGACCATCCTCTCAAGTACACCACTGACACGGAGACTTCAAGACCTTGGTGAATATAACTGAGCTTCTGCAAGCAACAGTCCTTTTAGCACAACTGACCAGCCTCTCCATGCCAGGTACACCAATCGGCACGCCCCACCAGCTGAGGATACCCCCTACCAGGGGTCATTTCCTGCAGGAGCGCACAGGAGCAAAGCTCCGGCAGTAAAGCACCCAGGAGGGCGGGCACATGCAACAAGCCCCACCCCCTGCTCCCAGCAGCCTTCAGTCAGAGTAAGAAGCAACCAGGTAAGTTGCAGAGCCCCCCATCCAAAACAGTCCAGTGGCACCAGGTTTTATTCAGGTACAAGCTCTCCCTCCTCTGCGAGGACAGATCTGCACGTTTCCCCCCCCCCAATAGCTAGCAATCCAAAACAGTCCAGTGGAGCCTGAGCGGTGGGTGTTGCCTTCTGAAACACTTCCGGTGATGTCAGGGGGTGTGGCACATGCAAATGAGTTATGCTAATGAGTCATGCTAATGAGCTCCTGCACCTCTTTTTCCATGAAATGACCCCTGCCCCCCACCATGCATATACCGCTCCTAATTCTGCTGTAACGCCCTTGCTATAGTGTCTCTGTAGGAGAAGGAGGGGGGGGTGTCTACAGATAAAGGGCACCCTGTGGGTACCAGATGGACAGATGAGGCTGGTACCTGATTCAGGCCCCCCCACCCCCCGATGACCAGTCCCCTACCTGTAAGGTTTCTGGGCTCCCCCAGATCCACATGCAAGAAGGGGGGCCGGGAGAGCAGCTCAGGATACACGTCTGCTTGGGGGCCCCACCCCTGCAAATCCGAGTGGGGCAGGACACGGTTGAGGCGAGCCGCATGCGCCGGGTTCTCTGGCTGTTGTGAGGAGGCGCTGAAGCTGGTGTCTGGCAAGGAGGCGATGCCCAGGGGGCTGTAGCAGAGGTCTGCAGCAGACAGAGGAGGAAGGCACAGGGTCAGGAGGGGGGCCTCCAGCACCGGCAAGGCACCAGGCCCCTTGGGGAAGCAGCGCCCCCCTCTCTCTGGAGAAATGCCCTCCACCCACAAACTCACCCCAGCATTTCAATCACTGGGATTGCCCTCTGGCTCTGTGTTGAAAAGCCCAGCTGCAGACTCAGAGCTAGGGGATGAGCCAGCAAGCTCCAGCCACAGAGGACTTGGGGGCTTCCGTATGCTCATGGCTCTGGCCTTAGGAGGGCACCCTGCCAGAATACCATACCCCAAACGGAGAGAGGCTGTTATATGGCTGGAAGCTGGAAGGGCTGCGTGACCTGGGGTGGGGGAGAATATGGACTCTTCCCAAGGGGAGAATATTAATTTCCTGGACACAGAGAAGAAGCTCTTTTGCATCTTGCTCTTGTCTTTGGAGAACAAGTCGTACAGGCCTTTACCTAGGGGGACCATTTTGTCCACATGGCAAGGGAAGGGACCGTGAGGAGAAGCCCCAGTTCAGAGAACTACGGTAACGGGGAACTTTAAACAAGTGCAACTTTGAAGGAGGAGGAGGAGACTGGATTTATACCCCGCCCTTCATTTGGAGTCTCAGAGCGGTTTACAATCTCCTTTCTTTTCTCCTCCCCACAACAGACACCCTGTGAGGTAGGTGGGGCTGAGAGAGCTCTCTCGAGGACTGCTCTTGAGAGAACAGCTCTGGAAGAACTTATGAGTGGCCCAAGATCACACCAGCAGCTGCTTGTGGAGGAGTGGGGAACCAAACCTGGTTCTCCCAGATCACCAGTTTGGCGTAGTGGTTAAGTGTGCGGACTCTAATCTGGGAGAACCGGGTTTGATTCCCCCACTCCTCCACTTGCACCTGCTGATGTGACCTTGGGTCAGTCACAAGCTCTGGCACAGCTGTCCTTGAAAAAGAGCCGTTTCTGTCAAGAGCTCTCTCTCAGCCCCACCCACCTCCCAGGGTGTCTGTTGTGGGGAGAGGAAGGGAAAGGAGTTTGTAAGCCGCTCTGAGACTCCAAGTGAAGGGCGGGGTATAAATCCAATCTCCTCTTCTTCTTCTTGTGTTCTTAACTACTATATCAAACTGGCTCTAGTATGTTCTGCTTAGCATCATTTACGTTAAGTATTGAGTCTAGGGAACAGAGAACTGCATGTTTTCACCTTTTCTTTGTACCCTTACTTAGCCTGAATGCCTGAACAGACTGTGTGTACTATTTGTATTCATTTAGTAAATATTCTTATATTTTGAGCACTCTGAACCTGACCTCTGTCAGTTGACACTGCCGTAGTCCTTGGAATGTGTGGGGGGGTGCTTCTCCTCCTGCTTCTCAAAAGATGTCTCCAGTCTGGCTTGTTGTCTGTCTGTGTGTTTTTTGACCTTGGTTCCCAGCTGCTCCTGACCCTCTGGGAATGAACGGCTCACCTTCCCCCGCTTAATTTGACAACTGCGCCATGCTCATTGGCTTTTGCTTGTCATGGGAGGTGTTTTGAAACTATATCTTTGGGTGCCCTGCTGCTTTAGGCCATTCCTAACAAAGAACGTTCATGTATCATAGTTATGGACCACCAATAAACAGAACACAATAAACAGAAGGGCTGAGTTATTATCTTGTAGGAGTTGCTGGTAACTCGGCCCTACCCCACCTTCCTGATTAGATATAAATGACCTGCCTACCTTTTTTCTTCTCACTTTGACACAGAGAGTACTCCATCTTTCTGTGTTATACCTCTGAGGATGCCAGTCACAGCCGCTGGCGAAACGTCAGGTCCTACAATGCCAAGACCACAGCAAGACAACCCGGAAAATCTACAACAACTAATGAACTCCGGCCGTGAAAGCCGTCGACAACATTTATTTTCCTTACTCCTATTTCACCTTCCTAGGATTGATGCAAGAGGCCAAAGTCAAAATTATGCTGGAGATTTGGGGCCCCGGCATGCACTTTAGCCAAGGGGGTGGGTTTCAAGTAGTCAGAGCGTGCAGGAGCTGTCTTTTCCCCCTGGAGCAAGCAGAAGCCCATGAAGGTTACTGCAGTTGGGGGAGGGGAAGTGCAGGGGGAAAACCCTTCCCTAGAGCTACCGCCCTGATGCAACCCAAAAGATTTAGGGGATGTAAAAATGTCCGAGGGTCAATGCTCCCTTTGCCAAACACAAGGCTAGACTCTCGGAAGCTCGAACTCCGAAAGTCACGTTGGTCTCTCAGGTGCTCCTGGACTCGAATCCGGCTCTGCGGCTGCAGACCAACAGGGCTACCGTCCTGAAACAGTCTTCCTGGGGGAAGTGTGTGCCATGTGAGTGTCTGAATCGATCCTCGGAGGAGCCCCCTGCTGCTGGGCAGAAAGAGGCAGGCAGGCAGGCGCTTCGTGGGCCCTGGGGCAGCCGCTGAGTTTTTGAATAGGCAGAGGATCCTCCGGCACGTGGCTGAACGGACACGGGTGGGCCTTATGGCGCAGAGACTCACCACCAAGCGGGGGCAGAGGGAAGGTGCTGAGCGGCACGGGTGTGGTGACGGCAGCTGGGCTGGCCCCACTGGGCCCCAGGGGCGTGACTGCTGGCTCGGTGGGCATGGCCGTTTGGTTCTCACCTACATAGACAGGAGGCAGGAAGGCAAGACAGAACAGTCATTCTTAACCAGAGTGGGTGGAGAGCAGTGTTCCCTCTAAGCTGAGTTAGTGTGAGCTAGCTCACTGTTTTTTAGCCTCCAGCTCACACCTTTTTGTCTTAGCTCAGGAAGGACGGCTCCAGAGCAAACTAATTTATGCAGTAGCCAAACCACTCTGTTATATAATGGGATTGAACCATCCCTGACTAAATCACCCTAGAGACTGGCTGAGCTTGGAGCAAAAGAACAATAGCCGACCAGGACTCTGGAATAAACCAATCAAGTAGTAATGCTTTGTAAATAGCCTATCATGGGGATTGGGGGTGTGGGGTGTGTGGTGTTTTGCATGCATATAAGCAGGGCTCCAGCCCTGCTAGAGTTGTTTTAGAGATAAGCTGAAATCACTAATAAACTATGAGCTGATCACTATACGCGTCTCGAACCCGGTATATTTCACGCTCGCTCACAACTTTCGTGCCAGTAGCTCACAAACTAGAATTTTTGCTCACAAGACTCCACAGCTTCCAGGGTGGAGAGCTACCAATCGTGTGGAGCAGTTAGAGTTTTAGGGAGCCTTTGGGATTTTTTTCAAGCGCTTCTCCCCTCTTGCAACGTTCACCAAAGGAGAAATGTTTTCTGCAGCTCGCCCTCATCCCAAACCCAGACGTCCCTTTCGAAGGGGTGCCCAGCAAACAGGGATCAGGTGGGACTGGGAGCCGAGAGTCCTTCCCCAGCGGAGGCACTCACCAGCTTCCCTGCAGTAGCAACAGGCGTCTCCTCGGCCCTCCACGAGGACTCGGCCCTGCGAGAAGAAGGGTCAGACTCACCCCAGGGCAGTGGGGACAGGCTCAGAGGCACCCTGCCTCGTCGGCCGGCCTGGCTCAGGGCCACGGAGGTCTCCGGCGGTGGCAGGGGGGGTGCCCGGCACTCACCTCGGGGCAGGCCACGGTGGTGTAGGGGCAATACTGGGAACACTGCACCGTCAGGTTGGGCAGGCACTGGCACACTTGGCACTGCCCTGACCGCCAGCGGTCGCTGATGGCGTGGGTCCGGCCGTGGTGCTCACACTCCTCGCACGGCTCCGTCTCGCACCTGGAAAAGGAGGGGGTGTGTGAGGGTGAGTGTGGCCAACTGCCAGGCGGGGCTGGAGCTCTCCTGGAACTGCAACAGATCTCCAGGCGGCAGAGGCCCCCTTGGGGCACACAGAGGCTTCGGAGGGCGGGGCTCTGTGACATCACACCCCTGCTGAGGTCCCTCCCCTCCCCAAACCCCACCCTGCCCAGGCTCCACCCGAAAATCTCCAGGGATTTCCCAGACCAGGGCTGGCAATCCTAGTCAGTAGACTCGAGCAGTGTTCCCTCTAAGCTGCGTTGGTGTGAGCTACAACACAGTTTTTTAAGCCTCCAGCTCACACATTTTTCGTCTTGGCTCAGGAAGGAGGGCTCCAGAGCAAACTTAATTCATGCAGCAGCCAAATGGCTTGCTCACAACTTTAATGCCAGGAGCTCACAAAGTGGGATTTTTGCTCACGAGACTCCACAGCTGAGAGGGAGCCTTGGACTCGAGCCCACAGCACAGGGAGGGGGGGAGGAATCCTGCCATGGTTTTGAGGACCACTTCCTGCAACCTGTCCTGTCCCCCCCTCCCTCCACCCATTCCAGCCTCGGCACCCAACCTGTGAATGCAGACAGGCCATGCCCTTGAAATGCCGGCAGCACGGATCCCTGCTTCTGACCCTTCTGAGGAATTCTCCGGGCTCACGGGGGATGGTGAGAGCCAGACTGAGAGGGGGTGTGTGGCGTGGCCTCGGTCCCCTCCCTCCCCCTCGCAGGCTCACCTGCGGGCCTTCCGGTAGATGCCACGGCACTGGCGCCCGTTCCCATGCTTGCTGGGGTTGTTGGGGCTGCGGAAGGACCACTGGATGCTCTGCACCCCGCAGGGACCCAGGCACTCGCCCCAGGGGGACCAGGACGACCAGCCGCAGTTCACTGTGGATGGGGAGAGGAAGAGTGTCACCATCGCCCCTCTGCTCCTTGCTGGGGGGTGAATGCCTGGGGCGAGATGTTCCCCCGCAAGGGCTGGGGGGGGGGTGTGTGGAGGCCCCCACAGGACCAGCCCTGCCTACCTGTGCACTCCGGGTTTTGCCGGCAGCGCTTCATCTGCCCATCCTGGCACGTGCAGATCCGGCAGTTGACCTTCACCAGCTGGCCAGGCCAGTAGCGGGTGCCCTCCACCTGGCAAGGGCATTCCCGCGGGCGCACACAGCGCTGCTCGCTATCCAAAAGCAGCCCTTCGGGGCACCAGCAACCTGTGGGAGGGGGAGACACAGTAGGAGGACACGGCTGAGACATGGAGGCAGGGGCTCTTCTCACCCAGCGGGATAACTTTTTCATTTTGTTTGGCCTTCCGTCCATGACCCCCCTCCTTCCTAACCAATGTTTTAATGGCTGCTTTTATGTTTCGTGTGTATTCTAACACTGCTTTTTATTGTTTTGATGGGGCCTGTTGGAGGCGGTTTGGTTTTAATGGTTTCTAAATGTGATTTTATCATGCGTGTTTTAAATTGTTTTAAATGTGTTTTAAATTGTTAAATCCGGCCAACCTAGCACTTCGAAAGCAAGAAATTGCAAGTAGATAAATAGGTACCACTTCAGTGGGAAGGTAACAGCGTTCCGCGCGCCTTGGTGTTTAGTCATGCCGGCCACATGACCACGGAAATGTCTCTGGACAGCGCTGGCTCTTCGGCTTGAAAACGGAGATGAGCACCGCAACCCTAGAGTCGGATTCGACTGGCTTTCAAGCAAGGGAGACCGTTACCTTTTACCTTTAAATTGTTAGCCTTGGTGGCCCTTGTAAGGGCAGAAAGGTGAGATACAAATTTGGTAACTAACCCTAACCACAACCCGCCTCCGTTTTTTAATTCCATTCGGCGTCTGAGCCAATCAGGGCTTTGGTGCAGGTTATCAGCAGCCCTGTAGCTAGGGATTTTGGGGGGAGGGAGCCCGGGGGGGGCACCAGCTAATTACATCAAAGGCTCCAGGGCAAGGAGGGGTCTGCTTGGCGTGCACCCACACAGCCCCCCACTAGAGCCTTCCTCCGAGGCGAGCCAGAATTCCAATGTTAATAGACACTAAAAGGTCTAGGAAAGCTGCCCTGTTTTAAAAAAAGAAAAGAGGAGAGCGGGGATCAAGCTTCCTCCATCACCCCTTCCCTGAGCCGATAATCTTTTCCGAAGCCTGGTGCAGAAAATCCATCAGGAGGAGCTAACTGCGGCAATCTGACCAATGTGTGTGTGACTCAGTCAACCACTGGTTGCTGCTGGGTCCTAAAAATACTCATCTGAGATGAGCTCAAACAGGGAGATGCTGGCTCAGATCGATCAGGGGGTGAGGGGGCCGGAGGGAGGGAGGGGGAGCTG